ATCAAAATAGTTTAGTCCTGAAACAACAATTTAATTTTCCAACAGTTCAGGGTAGAGAAACATTTGTAAAAATATGTAGCATGCAACTATTCACCTAAAAATGGAATAATGTAATCCCCGAATAGAGTATAAAAGTCTAACTAGTTCCCTGAACCAAGTATGAAAACTACATGTCACTACTAATTTAAAAATACTAAAAAGAATAATAAACTAAGTACCCCACACTAAACCGCACTAACACAGCTCGAACCCCACTCACTGTTACTCTTAAATAATACCTAAGTTCATGTTCTTCAAGGTCTCAAAATTAACCAAGACATGGGTTCTGGTCAAAACTTAATTAAATATGACTTTGAGATAAAATAGAATTTTTGATAGATTTTCCCGAACTGTTCACTAACTCTGAAAATTAAAAACCCACTCTACACCATTTGAAAAATTCCAAAACCCTCCAAATATCAACTAATATATATCCTAAGTTTCAAACCCAATTCGTTTTACTTGATTTACTTATCAAAATAATTATTTATAATTAATTATGTCCAAACAAGTTATTTTTCTGCAGCACTTTAAAGAAATTAATGGTTCTCTTAGTATACATGAGCAATCAGCGCAAGGCCAAAAACGTAAGAAACTAGACTCGTAACCAGTTCTAATGACGCTAATTTGATAATTTTCAGATTTATACCCAAAGAGAACGACATTTTCGAAGTTACTGTTTTATACCAGTTTTCTAGATAGATTTTGACTCCCAAAAATTATGAGAAAATTCTGATATGGGGTTCAATATGTAATTAATCTACTGTAAAAATTTCAATTCAAAATTCCTCCGTTTGATATGATTCCTCAATTTTTAAAGTCTATGGTTTTGCACAAAATTTTTAAACTAAGAATTACACCCATTTTTTGCACAATTTATTTTCTTAGGTTTCTTAACAGTGTATATACATACAAAATACATAAACCTATAACCTCTCCATCAATGAATTAAATAATAATAGAATAAGGATAAAGAAGAAAGAAAGAAGAAAACCTAAAGAGCTATCCTTTAATGATCATATACAGCACAACACACCTAACCCTTCCTTTGTTGCAACCTCTTTTTTTTTTTTTTTCAATCTCTCTCTCCTATGGCGGTTGCTGCTGTTGCTAGGAACACTAGGGTTGTTTTTTTATATATCTAAACAAAAAGTTTTAAATTATTATCTCTTTATATTATTTAATTTTTCTATCTCCATTAATTTAAATAAAATATAACTATTATTATATCAAAATATACTTACTAACTTGCCCCCTATTTTTTTTTAATAATAAATCTAAACACTAAATTAAAGACTTTCACTATAAATTTATTTTAGGCTTAAAATTAATTAAAAGACCCTCCAATAATATTTAATTTACACTTAAAAATTTGGAATTTTTTTTTTAAGGTCCCTCATATTAAGATTTTATAGCATAAAGGACATCTAATATTTTCATAATGTCTAAGGTCCCTCAAGTTAATCCAGAGAAAATTGGTCCAGAGAAAATTCACGTCAAAGATAAAATTGGTTCAGAGAAATTCTGGGAAGAATTTCTCTAGACTTACTAGAGAAATTTTGAAAATTTCTCCAGACAACGTAGCAACCCTTTCTTCGAGCAACCTTTGCTCTTCCTGCCCATATCCTTAATTAACAGCATCAATATAAGTAGAAGAATGGCAATCTTGCTGCTATAGCAATTGTGTGATGTATGGCATGCACACAAGATTTCCAGTAAATAATTCAACATGTAGCACAACAGACAGCACTTCCAAACCAAAACAACATAAAAGAGCAAAGGAAGTGAATAAAACCCAAGTATATACATAATCAATAGTAAGCACGGAAGAAATTGTGTGTAAACAACCATAAGAAACAACTCCAATCCATCATGGGAATGAACTCCTAGAATGAAAAGCAATAATTGCATGATTTGTGTTAACATTGAAGTAGTAAGCATGAAGTGTCAATATCAAGGTAGTTAAGTTTATCAACAAAAAAAATACATACATATATATCAGCCTTTTTATCCATAATACCACTACAGAGAAGCATTTTTGGTGCCCTTCAATCTAAATGACCCTGGCAATAATCTTGCCACTAGATTAAGGCCATGTTAGCGCTTGAATGCATGATCATATTCGAACACACAACATCAAGCTAACTTCATCATAGCAGGTCACCAAATTTTGTAGTTAACATGAGTAACAAGCCAAAGGAATGAACTCGATAGGATACCTACTGTTCTAGGACCAAAAATTATTTAATAAAACATGGAAGGATCCAAAACAGTAAAGCAATGAAGTTCTCATGCGCCAAATTCATTAGTTGAATTAGCAGAATGTAGAAAATTTGGCAAAATTCATTCTTAACAACTAGAAGAGCATTAACTTAAATGAAAAGAAAATGCAATACCAGAGAAAATGTAAGGTCCCTCAATATCAATCCAGAGAAAATCGATCTAGAGAAAATTCAATCCAGAGAATTTCTCTGGACAAATTACAGAAAAAATTCCTAATTTCTCTGGAAAGATCACAGAGAAAATTCTAAATTTCTCTGGACCAACACCAAAAGTGAAACAAATAGAAACAAGCTTCATATCTCAAATTCAAAATTCCATGTAATGAACTTGATAGGAAGAGAACCTAAATCAACCTCCCTAAAACATTCAGGTTAGAAACAAGCTTCATATCTCAAATTCAAAATTCCATTTCCTGAACCATGTAATTAGAGAACCTAAATCAACCTCCCTAAAACATTCAGGTTAGAAACAAGCTTCATATCTCAAATTCAAAATTCCATTTCCTGAACCATGTAATTAGAGAACCTAAATCAACCTCCCTAAAACATTCAGGTTAGAAACAAGCTTCATATCTCAAATTCAAAATTCCATTTCCTGAACCATGTAATTAGAGAACCTAAATCAACCTCCCTAAAACATTCAGGTTAGAAACAAGCTTCATATCTCAAATTCAAAATTCCATTTCCTGAACCATGTAATTAGAGAACCTAAATCAACCTCCCTAAAACATTCAGGTTAGAAACAAGCTTCATATCTCAAATTCAAAATTCCATTTCCTGAACCATGTAATTAGAGAACCTAAATCAACCTCCCTAAAACATTCAGGTTAGAAACAAGCTTCATATCTCAAATTCAAAATTCCATTTCCTGAACCATGTAATTAGAGAACCTAAATCAACCTCCCTAAAACATTCAGGTTAGAAACAAGCTTCATATCTCAAATTCAAAATTCCATTTCCTGAACCATGTAATTAGAGAACCTAAATCAACCTCCCTAAAACATTCAGGTTAGAAACAAGCTTCATATCTCAAATTGAAACAAATAGAATAAAATTTGTGCTTCTGGAAAAGCCCTTTTAACTCAATCACACAAGGAGATACACAAGATTTTAGGACAATTTGATCAAATGATCAAAAATCTAAAACAAATAAATAAATAAAGAACAAATAAATGTGAATGCTTTTTGCTATCATGACCAATTCGAAAGTCGAAATCTTAGATTTAACATAACAAAAACTTTATCAGATTTCAGCAAGTATTAATCCAACTAAACATTTCAAATACATATCATACATATATATACAAGTTTGTTTCCTTCCAATTGAGTATAAATTGATCTACAAATCATCAAATAATCATATATATATATGTATATTGCAATCTTACAGGCTTCTGGTATTCATAACAGGGCATCCAAGCTCAGTAGCAGCCTGGGGATCGACATTGTCGATCCCAACACCAGCCCTTTCCACCACCTTCAATCGGCCATTCGTAGCCTCAAAAACCTGCCTTGTCACTTTCGTCCCACTCCTCACGATCAACGCATCGAACTGCGAGATCTTTGCGCACAAATCTTCGGGAGAGAGATCATAGAGATACTCAACGTTGCCGAAGCTTCAAAGGAGCTCGAGACCGGCCTCTTCGAAGAGATCAGATGTTCCATGCTTTTCAATCCAGCTCCACCGCCGTTGAAGCTATATGTATATATATATATTTGTGTATGTATTCTAGAGAGAGAGAGAGAGAGAGAAGTGAGAAGCTGAGGTTCTAGGGTTTCTAAGAGAAAGAGAGAGGAAGTGCTGCTCTGCAGTAGAGAAGGAGAGACAAAGAGTCAAATTTCTCTGATATATGTTTAGGGACCTTAGACATCAAAAAATAATTTTGTGGATCTCTTCCATTACGAAAAGTGAGAGAGGGACCCTAGACTAATTTTCCCTAAAAATTTACAAACAAAATATTTGAAATTATAAAATAATTATTATTTAATTATTTATTTTATTTGTATACTCGAATTCTCACAGGAATTGCACAGGAGCAACCAATGGGATCACTGCCCCTAATCATGTTGAAAAGCTACCCATCATAGCAATTTGTGCTAGAGTAAAAGAACTTTTGTGTATATATATATACATATAGCCACACCAATGCCAAGCAATAGCCTACATATAATCCAACTACTTTTTCACGGCAGCAATTTTAATTATCATGAAAATGAGATAAAATATCAAAGTAACATGGCATGTATTTTGGGTGTTTGGTAATGTGTTGGGATCTCTTTGTAAAATTTGTAATATCTTTTTTATGGTCGATTTGTGCAAAAAATGGAACCCAGACAGCTATGGATCTGTGTTGTTCATCGCTGCAGCTGCTCCTTTCAGCCACGTAAGTGTTTGATTTTTGTTCTGGTACCATATTGTCTTGTGCTTGCCCCCGAGACGGTATTGATAATTTTGTTTGAGATGTAATCTGTCCAATTAAAATCTCATGCCAGAAGTAAAAGTGTACTTGACTAATCCTCCTGCCAAGAAAACTAAATCCCAGAATACCAAACTGGGCTTTTCTCCTCCCCTCCACAAACCACTTGCCCAAAGCTGCCTGACAACAGATGGACTGAAGCTGAATTGTATAAACAAAATGATGGGTAGATTTATATCCAATGAACATATTCAAACAAGCGAACCAACATTACATAGTGTATATATATAGTTTCTCATCAGTGCATCTCCAAAGGACTTTGGAGATTAGTTGGGGAAAAATTACAGCAAAGATATACTCGATGCAGCAAGTATGAATGAAGATATTATAACAGCCATACACATTCACTAAAATCATCAACACAAGGAAGTAAATCCCAAGAGGATAGGCATATTTTACCAACACTGGATTAAGTTAAAAGCTTTATCTAGCCATTCATGTGAAATAACAGCTGGCAAGTCCATCTTCTGAGTCAAAAAAGTAAACGACATTCCTTGCCCAATCAGCAGCTAGGCTCCCCATCTTCCACTGTGCCGTGCGGCAAATCATCTTCGAATCAGCTACTCAACTGCTTAAGAGCAATGATAAAATAAAACCAATCAAAAAAATAAGTTCACGTTAGACATCTATTTTCCTTTTTATCTTAATTTTTGTATAGTTTCATCATCTTATAATTTAAGACAGATTTTTTCAGCTTGTCATCAACTTAGATGACACTTTCTTAGAAAGCACAGATACAGATATGGCATAAGGGTATGATACAATAGGGATACACGGATATGGAGTGGGTAGGAGAAGGCGTAGCAAACACAAACTGGGGTGGAGAAGAAATTTGAGCAACCTTGAAACGGGTCTCCTCAGCAAAAAGTTCCTGAACCAAGCCATCAACAGAAGGAAAAAATATTCTGTGTAACAAGTACTCCACGTCACCTACGTTATGTGGAGTCCCATTCCACCAATAATATGACACGCCTAGCTGACTCTCTCTCTCTCTCTCTCTCTCTCTCTCAGGCACACAGAAACACTCTTTGTCTACTTCAAAAAACAGAGGACAAATCTTGACAGAATCGGCAGGGAACTCAAATACCCCATCTGGTAATTTCCACAGACAAGCACACATTTATACGCTTATAGATATGTGCGTATCTACATTTCTCTAGACTGAATTTTTTTGGCATCTAAACATGTAACCATATATATATATATTATTCATACATATAAAGATCCATCTTTTCCTTTATCAAGCTGGTTGATGCAGGGAATAAGAACCTCAAGGAAGAGTAAATTTAAACTATCGGCGGCATTGGAAATTGGCATGATTTTAAAGAAAAATTGACAGTAACCATACATAATCATATTTATAGTGTTAAGAGTCTTATTTTATGATGATTTTTATATTTTTTAAGATTTTTAATGGTAGGGTTATTTTGGTCATTTGCAAAATTTCTAGATATGGGTTGTGTGGATTGCCCATGGGTCGTCTTGTGAGTCAAGTTATTTAATTAGTTTTTATTTATGTTTTTTATTTAATCTTAAATTAATTTTGGAAGTCACAAGTTTAGTAATTTCCTATTTTGAAGTAAGGAAGTTTCTAAAGTTTATATAAAGTCATGTAATGGCTCTAATTCAATAGAGTTGATATTTTAGAGAATTTTCAAAACTCTAAAGATTTTTTATAGATTGTGTCAACCCTTAGGTGTGATGCCTGATGCTTTTAGGAGTGATTCCTAGAAACTATTTCTTCTTCTCCTCCTTTATTTCTTTCTTTCTTTCTTTCTTGAATTTCAGCACTTTAACAGCCCAAATACTGTTCATGAGCTATGTTACATGAGCTTGGGTATGGGTGTCGGGTGCAAGTATGTATCTAAATGTCAGACTCATCAAACTATAAATTCAAGGGTACGCGGATTCGACAAAAAAAATATCATATTTTATACTTTTAAAAAGGTATGTGAGATAAAATGGTACTATATGTAACTTACAGTGTCAAAAAGATATTTATAGCAATTATACGACAATATACACATACGATAATAGTTTTATACACAATTATATATGAAGTATCGATTAAAAAATATTCAATACATCCCATAGCCTTGTCCGAGTGTCGGGTGTCCGACACGAGTATTTGATTTATTTGAAAGAATCCGTGTAACATAGTTTATGAGTACTGTTCACAGCCGCTAAACAGTGTCAAAATCTCATATTTTTCAAGCTTAAACTCTTGCCTATTTATTACCCTACACAAACCCACTTGTCCCCTATACTCTTATTGTAATTTCAGCCATAAGGCCCGTTTAAAATCAGCCCCAAAAGCACACTGTTGAGGCTGTCCCTACTTGTAAAATCAACAAAGAGCGTGGGCAGAAGGAGGAATGTGGGTTTGTGGTTGTGCTCTCTGACTTTGTTGAAAAACTAGGTGACAAATCGTCATTATTTGAGAAGAAATTTTTAGGGGGGGGGTTGAGTTCTCTGCCTTTGTTGAAGAAAAATGTGATGAAGCACCATTAGGAAATGAAAAATTGGAATTCTGCAGAGATGGAAGTGTGAGGTAGGCCTTCCCTTTGTTGTGTGATGGATAAAACCATGGAGTAGAAAGGATGGAAAATAGGGCTGGGTCAAGCTCTCTTGAATTGTGCAGCCATGTGAGGACTTGGGCATTCTCCTTATTGCATGTGTGATGAGCCAACTAATAGCCCTTGACTTTAGAATCAGTGTGTCCATGTGTGGAGAATGTAATGGCCTGCAACTTATCCTTGGACATGATAAAATATGCAAGCCACACTGAACTTGCTTTTGGTTGAGCAAAAGAAAGTCTGCAACTTTTTATTTTTTAAGTCAATCACACTTAAATCCACACTAACAGTGACGCAAGGACCCACAAACCAATAAAGAATCAAAGGCTGCAACAATTGAGAAAAATAGAGAGAGATGAGAAACCTGGAAGACCTGATATTACCAGTCACAATTGAAGCAAGGACCCACTGAAGGCTACCACAATCCAGATCGAGAACATAACACTCAGATCTTCGAACAACCACGAACCAAAGAAGAGGATTACAACCAGAAAAGACTGAGTATAGGAGGAGTGATCGACAGAAGATAAGAGAAGAGGAGCCACCATCGATGGAAGAAAGCGAGCTACCACTGACGGGACTACAATTGAGTAAACCCTAATTGCGGTAAACAACCCGAAAAAGAGAAGAAGGGATTGTGACCAATGAAACCACAACAACGACAAATGATTATAAGAGAGAGAAGGGGCTGTGACCAACAGAACCCTAATCAGTAATGGATGATGGTGGTAGCTAGGGTTGTAAATGCTTTGATACCATATTAGAAAAGAGAAACGATATTTTGCATTACATTAATAAGAAGATAGCAATAATATATATATATATATATATATAACAAAATCTAAAATCGAATTAGAAAATTATGACTAAACAAAAGCTACCTACCCTTCTATAAACTAATATTACAAATCTCACACATGAGGCACCACTACAAATACTACTCTTTCAACATAATGTTCACCTTGCATATAACACAACGGAGGGAACTACACATGAATTCAGAATTAAAATCCTAATTTTGGTTTGGTAAGCAGAAATTACCTCTTTTTTTTTTTCTTCTTTTTTTGAATACTACTTATGTATAAAGATGAAAAGCACAAAAACTATCCACCACACCAAAAATGTTGTAGCACAGAAACTAATGCCCATTCTTTTAATGTGGAAAATTCTTCCTCACTAAAAAAAACAAGAACAATAAGTTGATTACATTCCAAAATTTAACCACCCCAGCATTTTTCAACATACAGTCACTTCCTAAGTAGCCCAAATATGACATGTGACACGACACTGATACACAAACTTGAAAATTTTGACAAAATATAAGACACGACATATGAGGGACACCTGAAGAATATATAATTTTATATATTGATTAGATGTCACATGTAAGGATAAATAACTATTATATGTCATGTATATGAATATTTAACTTAAAAATAATAATTTTTAGAGTCTAAAGGAACGTAATAGATATAATATTTATATTAATTTTAAAAAGTGTCCGACGAGTGTCGTGTCGTGTCGATATTGACACATTATTTTCTTAGACATGTCATTGCTTCTTAGGTCACTTCCTAAAAGGGATGTAACCCTATATAAATGGATTGATAAAAAATTGATAGTCATTGAGAATTTGCGTTTCTTACCCCAAAAAGCTTATTTGGATAACTAAATTGTACTTTAATTTATAATTACGTTTTGACATAAAATGATGAGGTAAAATGAGAAGTTAATCTAAGCCCATATGTTGCACATTTGGGGGCCTCCTAAGAAACACTTTTGGTCTATTTATCTATGTTACTAGGCATTCTAATAGGTTGTTCACACTTTTGTAGGTTGGTTGATCAATGGAAATGAAAAGCTGCAAAACAGAGCAAGAAGCAATGAAGTAACACACTACCCAAAATCGTTCAAGCAGAGGGTGAGTGTGGCTCAAGTGGAACCTGCCAAATGTCTTGTCGAAGCCGACTTTTTCAAGTGAAGCTATTGCCCCATTCCACTCAAACGGAAGTGAAGCTTTGCCTGAGCGGGAGTTAGGTGTGAAAGTGCATGCTATTTTTACTAAAAAAGACCTAATTGGGAACAAGTGTATAAATAGAACTTCCTAACTTGAGATTAAGGTTGTTCATACGTTGAGAAGATGGCTCTCAAGCAAGAAGAGGTGATTTCCGAAGGTCCAACTATGGTGTTCTTAATGAAGATGGTGGCTCAAGTAGACTATGGATTTGAAATACTAAGTCCTCAACTTTTGAAACACAATTTGCCTTTGACATCGTTTAATTTAGTTGAATCTTAATTCTTATTTTTAGTTTAACCAATCACAACTCAAACTCATTGAATTAATTTGAGAACACCGACTTTTGAATTAACATAATTTAGCCTCTTAGTCTCTGAGGTTCGACTTGGATTGAAGCTTAAAATTCCAAGATTGTATATATATCCTCTAAAACAGGGGCTTGCAAACAAACCCAAGTAATACATACTTCGTCGTTTCAGCTCAAAAAAAGGACGGGTAGTGATGTATAAATGTAATAATAATTATAATTAAAGCAATAAAAAGAACAGTATAAGAAGAAGAATAAAAATGAACAAGTAGGTAAAATTAAGGAGAAGAAGATGTTGGCTTACATTAAACCACCGAGCCATCACAGAAATAAGTTACACTCTCTGCAACCAAGTAAGATTGGCATGAGATGGAACAGATTTCCAAGGGGAATATTCCACTTCTTGAGCGACGGCTACCATTGGTAACTTGGAGCTTCATGCAGTGAATGCGAAGAGATTCGTTCTCCACCTCCTCCACGTACTCGTTGTCCTCCTTGTCCTCCTCTTCCTTAACCACGTCATCCTCCTCCTCTATGTCCTCATCCTCGTCCTCGATCAAGGAATCCTCCGCAGTTATGGTTGTTGGCTTGGGATGACACATCACCACAGAAAACCAAAACAAGCAAAACTTATCACTGCCTAGATGGGCCAAGCTTGGAGGAGGAGGATGAGGAGGAAGAGGACCAGTATGCTCAGGTATGTAAGACCGTCCATAGTCATGGACATTGAACTTGCCCATGAACCATGTCTTTCTCATTAAATCATTCCCAATTAGGCATGCAGTGGTGTGTCGAGCTGAATACCAATACAACATGCTGTCAACAGCCAATGCAGTCCCATTAAGTCATTTGGACCAAAGAACCGGGTCTTGGGTATTTCAAACCCTTCACTCACCCATTTTTTTGGTATTAACTTCGTATCTTCAGAGGACACGATCCTCGGGCCAACCCACCACAATACATAGCTTGGGAACACGTATAGCTGCAGAGAATATACATGTAATCATAATTGGAAAAGGCGGAATAGGAGCAGGGTTAGGTAGAGACTCCCATTGATTTAGGCTCGGGTCAAAAGCCATGGCCCATGGTGATGGTGGTGGTTCTAAACCACCTAGGCAATAAAACTTGTCATCCAGAACCCAAGTGTGTATATCTGCCCCTAGGGCATGAGGCAATTGAGGAAAGATGTCTAATTTCTTGGCAATACAAGGTCAATTCGAACCAATTGATTTCCCTTTTTGTCATTCCTCCATTGACGAACGAACTGGTATAATGAAGAGTTGTGAACCACCTAGCTAGCACCACATACAACATACAATTTTGCAGTCAAAATGGGTTTGAGAAATTGATCAGAACCAAAATCATACCTTTCATAGTCGTCTTGGTGAAACGGAAGACGAGGGTTGTTGTGGGGAAATTGTTGGTTGTCATGGTCGACGTCCTCGGAGACTTGAAAAGCGTACCAATAAAACTCATTACAATTAGTTAGACAAATATAGGCAATTTTTTAAGAAGAAGATGACGAAGGTGGTGGTTGTAATGGTGAGAGTGATGAGATGGAGGGTGGTGGTGATTCAGTATATATAAATGGATCAGGAATAGGATAAGCCAATTCCATAACAAGTTGGAGACCGACTCGCTTTACCTCTACGTCGAAGGAGATGCGAAGAGGATACCAATGAAAGCTTTTACAGTCGGCTAGACAAAAATAGACGAATGAAGAAGAAGAAGAAGAAGGAGAAGGAAGAGGAAGAGAAGTAGAAGATGATATCTTTTTTTTTTACGATTATACATACATATGAGGCTAAATCCAAAAAGAAATCTAAGTTTATTATTATTATTATTTTGGCTGTTTTCTGTAAAAACCAAATTGAAGGTTAAATTGGATATAATTTTAATTCAAACCTCAATTTCTTTTTTTAAAAAAATAAATTGGGCCTTCAAATTTGGGCCTTTTAAGTGACTTTCTGCGACCATTCTATTTTAGCCTTTTTCAAATAAGTGAATTTTTTTTTTTTTTGGACTAAATAACAATTTGTATTTTTGGGACTCTTTTTGCAGCCATTTTTTGCGGCCCAAAGTAGTTACTTTGTGGGCTTTCCCTCAAGGTTAGCCCTGAGATTAATCCCACAACCACATTACATGTAGTCACACTAGTTTCGTTGACAAGAATAATGTTTTATCTACACAAAAAATGGTTACTCGAATCCGCCTGAATGAAGTGGCAAGCTTCCATAGCAAAAATTGCCTACTTGCTTAAACCCCTCTCAAATGCTCTCTCTCTCTCTCTCTCTCTCTCTCTCTCAAACGCCTCTCTTTCTTTCTCTCTATTTCTGATAACCCTCACAATTCTACTCTCTCTCTCTGTGTCAAACTCCCGGCCGGCAACGATCTCTCACTCAATGCCGCTGTCGATCTCCCTCGCTCGCTGATGGGAAGAAACGATCTCTCTCTCAAACTGCCGACAAGAGTAAACACAAGCCAAGAAAATAGATCAAGACAAAGAAAAGAGAGAGATCAAGACAAAGAAAATATTTAAAAATTAAAAGAAAATAACAACTGAGTTGTTTTTTTGGGTGAAAATGAATTAACATTGCTCTGTTGTTGAAGTAAATGAACATTGGAGGTTCGAATATCCAAAACTTCTTTTGGGTCATATAGGTTTATGGGTTGGGGTTTTCAATTTTCGTTTCTTTTGTATTTTCCTCTGCTTTCTCGTTAGCCACACACACACACACACAGACAGAAGATATTCGTGAGTGTGTTGAAATCAAAGGTATGATGGAAGAGTCTGACAATAAATAAATTAATTAATTAAAAAAAATTATTCTCAATTTTAAGGACAATATTGAAGTTTGTTGGTAGTCATGGCAAATCTTTTGTGCATGCTTTAAGTGTCGTTTGAGAAATGGGTTGGCTTTTTAATTTTTTGACTTTTTTAGCTATTTTAGTTTAGGCTAAAAAGCTTGGTTTGGGAAATTTTTTTTGACTTTTTTGACTTTTTTTATGAGAGAAGAGTGTAATGATTATGGGTTAGATGTGATGTTTTATTCGTTGTGGCCAAAATAGCCTATTTTGTTTTTTTGGCCTCTTTGTGCATTTTGGACTATTTTTGGATTTGGATTTTGAATTTGTGAAGCAATTTGTTGAGAGAAAATAATAAGGAAGAGATTTTTGTGAAAATTTTCATCCTCTATTTCATTCACAACTCCTTTTTTTTTTCTTTTTATTTACAAATCTTTGCACAAATCCTTTTATTTCTTGCAAATTCATGGTATGTATATGTATGCCTCATATATACTTACATTTACATCACTGTTGCTTTCTTCTTGGTGCAACCCAAATGAATTTGTTGTAGAAGCTGCAATGGTTTGTAATTAATGTCCATGAAAAACAAATCATAACATTTTAATATATAATAATAACATACATTTTCGTTCTAATTTTACAAACGTTACTAATGCATGATCGATAGACACTAGCATGCTTGTGGCTCCCATTTTGTGTGAGATCCATAAACACGTGAGTATCTGTATATCATTATGTGATTTATTTTATATGAGTAGTATTTTTTAGTTCTTAATCTTTTGAACAATTTCGTGAAAATCTTAAAACACAAGAATCTTGAAAATTGTTGTGTAGTGAAAAAATAAAAAAGTGAAATGTCAATCAAATATAATTTTTAAATTTCTTTTCTCTTTTCTATTCTCTTCTCAAATCTTTTCAAAATTTAAAATTCAAACACAATTTAAAAAAAATTAAATTCGCAACAAATGATAGAGAAGGCAGAGAAACAAGGACCTGTTTGGGTTGTGGTTGGGAGAGAGCAATTAATGCTTCCTTTCTAATCAGTGGGACACTCACAGACGTCATTCTCAATCAAACATGCACCTTCATGGAAATAGAAAATGTCACCACATGGTGCCCCTGTAAGCTCACAGTGCTCTCCACTATGCCCTGTTTGGCACTGGCATTTATAACTCTCACCCTGCACTATCTCCTCATAAGTCCCTCCATTTCCACACCAAAATGAGTTAGTCCCATCCCACATTGTCATTTCCTCATCACAAAACCTCCCCCTGTTAATCAAAACAATAGAACACAAGAAGTTCCATGATGTTTCAATTCCATGAATCTAATCAACTAAAAAACAATGAGCATCAAGTATAGAGACAAAATTCTTTCTTTAAAAAAAAAAATTAATAAAATACAGTACTGACAGCACTACATTTATTTTGGATAGAGTCACATTCTATCAAAATAAATATAATATTAATACTGATAGTATGACATTTATTTTGAACGGAGTCACACTCTATTAGAATGAATGTAATATAGGTCACATTTTTTCAATATACTTTTGTATGACAAATTTATATTTATAACATTATTAATTATATATCATACCAAAAAAGTGCTTGTTCAAGAATTTCAAGATTTTCTTATATTGGTGTTTTGGTACATTAATGATTCAAGTTGGTATGAAAACTTCCATTGAAAACCATATGGTTATAAATAGAGAGATAGTTTCAAAAATTGCACAAAATATAGTGTTGGCAGCACTGCATTCATTCTAGATGAAATTATACTAGAATAAACGTTAATGCTGGCAATACTACATGCTGTACATTTTTCTATGAAAAAATTGCGTTCGTAACATTACTTGTTTCTTTTTCTTCTTCTTCCATTCATTTATTTATTTTTTTAAATCTTGCTAAAGAATTTCAATATTTTCTTATAATGGTGTCTAGCACAAGAATGATTTAAGTGTTGTATATTGAAAACCATATATATATATATATATGAGTTTGAATGAAGCAGGCAAGTTAGATTTACCCTTGGAAAGGTCGATCACCATCTAAAATGATGGAAGGGTCTGGAAGATTGCAAATACAGTGGCCAGTGCTGTTGCATGATCCAGTTTTGCATCTGTCGTCATCACACGGTAGAGCAGCAGCAGCTTTCGCAATATTGGTTGATCCAAGAAACAGAGATAGTATAATTAGATACACAACTCCCATGCCAATTGACATTTCAAGAATATGAGAGAGAGAGAGAGAGAGAGAGAGAGAGAGAGATTGTGATTGCTTCATCTCATTTTTTGAGATTTGTGTGTAATGAATGTGATAGTCTTTGGATTTAAGCAAGGTGTCAAGAGATAGAGGAAATGGGATTTTTATTTTTTTATTTTTTGGAACCTTACCAAGTAGTAAATCTTATATACCGGTAATTACCTACAAATTACACGTATCAATTAAGACGGATAGAACGCCAAAAGAAGTCAAACTTTAAATGTTTCAATTTTCCAGTTCGTCCTAAGATAAGCCTTTTATTATTTAGTAATACTACATGTTTATTATATTTATAAATATCAAAATGTTGTCTATATTCATTCTATGCAAGGACTCACAATACGGCAATTCAATCTCAACCCTTCCTTTATAATCCGAGCAACTCTCTTACCACAATTTCTGAGATAGGAAAATGACCTATTGTTTCAATGCAGAAACTGAGGCTGAGCTTCTAAGTACATGCACTTTGTTTCTTTTCTTTTCTTTTCTTTTACTTGAATTCAAACATAAAATAAGCTAAACTTCTTCTTGAATTTTTTAACTTCTGCACAGACCAATCTATAGATATTCTGAGGTGATGGAACCTACACTGTTCATTCATCTGTGCCCCTCTATTCGAGATCAAACTTGCTGACCTCAAAGTTCTTTGGACCTTACTGTCCACTTGTGTCAAGTATCAAGATTCATGCCTTCCAGGCTACTTGAGATCGCACCTCCTAGCCGAGGTTCTGGTTTCATTAATTCGTAAACTCCAAGAACTTTGCAACTGCTCCACTCACACTCTCTGGTGAGTTCCCGATTTTCCAGTCACTTATTTGACTCCGGCGATTTTCATATCGGCGTTCATTTCACTTTGTAGGTTCATAAACTCTTTACTTGCTATTAAGCTCAATCTTTCATAACTCTTCTGATTTACTTTGAATCTGCTTATTTGCCCTCTGTGTTCTTCTATTTTCGTCTGTTTTCAAGTCTTGAATTGTTTGAATGCCTGGCACTGTTCTTGTCATATCCGCTTTCTGTTGCTAGCATCGTGTCTGGGTCATTACTTTCTTGTTCTTCACATACTTACTTAGTGCCTGTGCACTTGGCTTTATTCTTGAACTTTGTCGTCTTCTTGACTATTTTTCTCTTT